AAGGACTCTGGTGGCCCAGAAAGATCTCTCTTCCCAAACTGATTCCTGGGCATAGCCCCAGCTCTTATATTGGCTTTCTTATCATTATTGAGTTCCTCATGAACAGGGATGATGTCTTTTAACCAACAATTTGAAGTGAAGGTGACAGCAATGGGGCCCATGGCTTACCTTTGCTTTCTGAAATATGGTCGTTCCTATGATTTGTGTACTATCAATCATATCCTTTCCGGGACCTGAAGCCATGCACATGCCGGGCTGGAGTAAAATGAGAAAAGACACATTCTTATAGAGAGAAATTACAATTTTTAAGGGATAGTAAATTACAACTGAATCTAAACAAATATTTGGTAGTGTGTTATTTTTGTTTGTGGGTTTTTTTTAAAAATGTAGGATTATTTTCTATAAAATCTCTCTATTTTACAAACCATGATAAACAAAATCATGCATGGCATTAGAAAAATTTATGTCTTCAGAAATCGTCTATTCCAGCACCTGTCTTTTAAAAATGAGGAAATTGAGGCAAGTTATAGGATTTAATTGCACGAGTGTCTAAGACCACAAGCCAGGTGACTCCATTTACTGCCAACTTCCCTCTCTGTTGTTCCTGTCTATTAGTATTGCTCATGATCCTCTAGTTAAAATTCCAGTGAATCATGAAGAATTCCCAGGTAATAAGGTTATTTTAAGTTTGAGATACTGAAGGTTATTATCCTGAGTTACCTAGAAATAAAATTATTCCACAACAACAAAAACAAATTACATTGGAGCCACTAGCTGGCCTATTTAGGGGGAGGGAGGAAATCAATCAATAAGCCTTGTTCTGAATTTTACTTCTTCTATTTAAGGGGGGAAAACCCATTAGTCAAATTCTTTTTTTTTTTTTTGTTAGAAGTGTCTTTAATCACTTAATTAGTCAAATTCTTAAGTATTATAAATTGAATGCATAGAAAAAAAATTGTGTGAATGATAACTCCAGGAATCAGCAGAGATATGAAAGGAGGAGATTAAATAAGGACTACCACTTTTTACTTCTTTTGATGCATTCATGTTATTTGAATTTTTATAGCTAGATATTGAAATTATATAATTTAAAGAGAAAAAAAAGAAATTGTGATCTTACTCTTAAAGGAAAAATGGAAAATACCAACACTTTGAGAAGCCTTTGTTTCATAATAGTTAAACTCTCAACTACTAATTAAAGGTGGGTGGTAATTCAAACCTACCAGTGGCTGCGCAGGAGAAAGACCTGGCAATCTACTCCCATAAAGATTGCCATCTAGAACACCTCACAGAGCAGTTCCACACTCTTACACAGTGTTACTGTGAATTAACACGAACTCGACCTCACTTAACAAAACACATTATAATCAGCAAGGCATGTCTTAAACAGGCAGTCTTAATTTGTGACTCTTTGGAAATACCAAGGCAAAATCTTTTGGATTGTTCTTGTGTTGTTGTTGCAAAGTGCCAAAAAGATATTTAAACCCTGACATTTGTTGAATGTTTTTACTATTCAGAACACTTCATAGTTAATCAAGCTGAAATACAGCATTTTACCTAGTCAAAATTTAATGGGTTTGTCAAGGAGCAGATGCTAGAGATAACTGAGAAAAACATAGCCATAAATTAATGGTGATAATTCTAACATACTTTGCACACAAGATATAAGAACAAAGATTTTTTTTTTTTTTAGTTGTCACGGTTACCTACCCCACCAATGGGACAATTGCTGTTGATGTTGTCACAGGATTCTCCAGTGTTGATGCAACGTGGGCCAAGCACATTGGGAGACACATCCCCTAGGTTTGATGAGGCAAAAGCTGCTACATACGGTCCCTGGCAAAGAAAGAGCCAATTGCCTTTTATGGTTTCTTGGGGTTTTTTTGTTTTCTATAAAAACTTTCATTAAAAATGCAAACATTCAGTCCTCACTGTTAAGCTCTACAAAGTCATCTGCAGACAATAAAATGTGCAATATTCTGAGAAAATACATCTGAAAGAGCTCACAGTGCAATCAGAATATGTATTATTACTGAAAATACTCCCATTTCCAATAAAGCTGTTTCAAGTTGGATAAGTTCAAACTTACAAAAATGTTTCTCAAACAGAAACATTTTTTGCAAGAAGCATAGTGTGCAATTACAAATTCTAATAGGTAAACCCATCAATCCAGTTTCTAATGTCCTTGCAATTTGGAGATATATTTGCCCTTTAAAAAGAAATGTCCTCTAGGCTTAGAAAGAGCTAATTCATTTTTTCCTGTTTGAACACTGAACTCAAATATAAATCTAATAATATGTCTTATTCTCTGTTCATCTTTTTACCCTGAATTAAACAATAAAACCTCTAGTTAAAAAGCCTTTTAGAATAAGGAAAGACATTAGCTCAACTCGGCTACTGGTCTACGACTCCACTTTTGATCCTTAGGTTTCTTGGGAAAAGATAAGCAAGTATTTATTAGAGGGCAAAGATCATTCTTGATAGGAAAAATGAAAATTTATCTCAATGTTCTTAGCAACCAACCAGTGAGCACACATATAAGCTTTCTTTCTTTTCTCTAAAACGACAGATTAAAATAGAAAAATGAAATATGCCAACAAAGGAGCTAAGAGATAAAACAAAATGTTACTGAGGTTTCGTAAAAAAAAAAAAAAATTGTTCTGTGAACGGAGGAGTCATAGGACTCCCATCTACTGCTTTCCTCATCTTCTGCATTTTGAGACTTGATGTCAGGATCAAACAGGTTCTTGCTCCCACTTGACTCTCTGTAGTCATTTATTTACAGAAAACCAAGGAACCTCCTGGAGTTCCTGATTTTTTAATCTCTGATTTTGTTGCTTAATAAGGTTTCAAAATTACAAACACACATCTAAAAAGGGGATTAGGGCTGTCTCTGCTTTAAGCTGTATTGAAGAAAAGGCTAATAGAGCCTTTGAGAGAATTCACCATGAAGAGGAAAAGCTGGATCAGAACAATTCCAGACTTGCCTCTGATCCTCTTTGGGGATTCTACCAGTATTAAAACCCAAACCCATTGCCGTTAAGTGAGAACAAACTTGTATGTCACGCCGCAGCAGGTTTTCAGGGGCTGTAAATCACATTGGAGGAGACTGGTCATCTTTCTCCCGCAGCCTGGCTGGTAGGTTCACGAGAACTTCTAGAGAGTGTGAGCAACTCTGTAAAGACGACTCCACTAGAGCGCCTCACTGGATGAGGAATTGTGCTGGCATCCCAAAGGCAGGTGGTTCAAATCCACCATTTGCTCCGAGGAAGAAAGAAAATCTCCTCCAGGGTCATTTAAAACCCTCTGGAGGGCTAGTGACAAGTTGGTTCTGATTCATAGCAATGAGTTTGAGTGTGGGTCCAAACACACTGCTAACCCAAAGGCCACGCTTCTCAACAGCAGTCCACAGGAGGAAGATATACAATTTCTAGGGAATTTACCACCTCCAACTGTGAGGAGTTTCTGACCCTAAAAAAATAAGTTGAGTTTGTTACTGAGTTGAAATACCTTTTATAACTCTGAAAAGAAAAACATCAACACAGCTCTATCATATTTCTAGATCATTTTCTAAAAATCTCAGTTTGCCTTTATTATCCAACTAGTTGTAATTTTATTAAGCCATTTATAAATAATAAAGTATAAAGAATAAATGGTTTATGATTCATCATCTTAAACTTTTTTATTTTCCCTATTAAGAAGCATGGTAAACTCTTCTGTCCAGACCAATTATTACTGTATGAGGTTCTAGATAATCTTTTAACTCAATATGAAAAATACAAACATTCAAAGGTCCCTATTAACACTTTCAATCATTCCCAAGAGGCAATCAAGGTTCCTCATCACTCTTTAATCTAAGCCCTTTTGAGCTGACATATCCGCAATAAAGAGACCAAGAAGATGAGCTTCTCTATATGATACTTTTTTCTGGACATTTGAATTAGTTGTTCTTGACACGGGATGCATGAGGACACTTAACGAATCAAGATGACATATCCAATGACATAAATTCTCACCTCTCCAGGCAGATGTCCTTTGTTCATCTCTTGCTCAAAGAGGTAAGAGGCGTAACCCATGTTGTCATTGTTCACAAGATGATTGCTGTTGTTCATGCTGACGGGGTGAATTGCAAACCAGCTATAAAAATTAAGAAGCTTTAAGTTAACCAAGCAAAACAAAGAATGGGATCCAAAGCAATAACTACTATTTAAGGCTTCTCTGTCAGGAAAAAGGGAGCTCTGGTGGCTTAGTGGTAAGGAGGTGTGCTGCCAACCCAAAGGCATGTGGTTCAAATACACCAGCTGTTCCATGAGGGTCAGATGGACAATGTCCTCTTTTGTGATTTATAGCCACTGAAAACCTACTGGACGGTCAGCTATGAGTTGGTTCTTGTTGTTGTTGTTGTTATGTGCCATCGAGTCGTTTGCGACTCATAGCGACCCTATGTACAACAGCTCTAAACCGTGCTCTATCCTGTGCCAATCTCACTGTCTCTGACACACCCATCCCGAGTACCCCAGTCAATGAATCAATCCACCAGTGTGCGGAACGTCTTCCCCTCCTGTGCTGTCCCTCTACTCTACCCAGCATGATGTCCCTCTCTAAAGACCTGTCTCTCCTTACAACATGTCCAAAGTATGTCAGACGAAGCCCCAGAATCCTTGCCTCCAAGGAGCAGCCTGTTTTAATCCTCTCTACGATGACTCTGTTTGTTTTCTTGGCAGTCCATGGTATTCTCAATACCTTCTCCAGCACCACAGCTCAAAGGTGTCAATTCTCCTTCTATCCTCCCTAGTCATTGTCCAACTCTCTGATGCATAACAAGTGATTGCAAAAACCATGGCCTGTATCAGGCGGACCTTAGTCTCCAGAGAGACACTTCTAGCAGGGGGAAAAAATAGGCATTCCACATTTAAGCTCTTTCACCATTAAGCAGCTTAAATATAAACAATGTACTTCAAAAGGTCTGATTATTTATTTAAATTAGAATTCATTTAAATGAATATTTCATTATTATACTCATCAAGTGCTTTTAAGAGGAGCCAAATCTGGTAAGTTGCCAGATGACATTCCTAATGAATTGTACAGTGCTAGGCAATGTCCTTTAAGACAGGCACTCGCATAATAATTACTCAAGTCAATCTGATAAACATTAACGGATATTTTGTTGCATGCAGAACACTGAATAAACTGTTGTTTATTCTCAGAATATCACAGAAGACAGAGATGTGAACAAATGGCTTTAATACAGTGTGACAAATGTTACAAAAAGAATTAAAAAGGCATAAAGTACTTGGGAACCACAGGGATTTAGCAATTAACTCTTAGGGGCATTTCAGAGAAAGGAAACTGCAAAGAAGTGAAGCACAGAGGCATGAAGGAGGATATTATGCATAATTCAGTATGTCCTCATGCATAGTCATACCTTGTTTAAGTGGAGAGCTATTTGGCTTACAAATTTCACATCTGTTACCTTATTTTAACCTCACAACAAACATGAGAGATAGGCTGGTATTAACTCTTCTCCCCCTAAGAGGCTTAGAGAAGATGCACTTGGAATTTCTGGCCAGAAGTGATGGTCCAATTGCTAGAGAAGGCCAAGACTCCTGCCTTGTGCCCAGTCCCTTGGTTGCTATCATTTGCACAGAGAATGAGGTAGTAGCTATTGCAGTCCATAGCTCCAAGTACACAGTTTCTATCTAGTAGGATGACAGTGATGCAAACCAGATTCAGCCAGATTGCAATCGCAGTCAAAGGAAATCCATGAAGCAATTCTCTTCACATTGGCTGTTATTTCACACTCTTTGGGCCAAGCAGTTTATAAACAAGACCACATTGTAGTCTCTTAATTCTTTCATGAAGACACTGAAATTATCCCCACTTTAAAATTAAGGAAATAGTCTCAGAACTGTAAAACAATTTAATCAAAATCTCAAAGATGTGTATTAACTTAAAGTCTATGTATCTGGGTTTGTCAAATGATAAAGCTCTTGATCTCATATAATATGGGATATTGATTCTATTCATCCTGTTCACTCATTTGCTCATTTCAACGCACATTTTGTTAACTTTGAGTCTATACTAGGTCTAAGAACATAGAGGTGAATGAAGTATCACCTTGCTTTTGAGGAATGCTTCACAGAGACATGACAGTTATGCTGGATTTAAAATAGATAGATAGATAGATAGATAGATAGATAGATAGATAGATAGATAGATAGATAGATAGCTAGCTAAGTGAATGAATGAATGAATGGCTTTGCAAAAGTACTATTGAAGAAAAAGTAGTCTTTCCTAGATAGTGCAAGTGGTAAACGAACTTGTCCCCTAACCAAAAGTTGAGCAATTCAAGTTCACTTAGAGCACCACAAAGGCCCAATAACTTGCTTCTGAAAATTATCCATTAAAAATAATATATTCGAATTTAGTAAATGCACTAGTATAAATAAAGTTTTTAAAAACAAAAACTTGCTTCTGAATGTCATCCACTAAAAACTCAATGAAAGCAACAACTCCTTGCTGTTAAGTCAGGATCAACTCCTAGCTGATCTTCCAGCTTGTATCAGAGAACGTAAATCACACAGGAGGAGGTTACCTACCTTTCTCCCACAGAGAGCAGCTGATGTCGTTGAAGCTTTATCTGACATACTTTGGATATGTTGCAAGGTAGGATCAGTCCTTGGAGAAGGACATCCTGCTTGGGAAGGTGGATGGACAGCGCAGGAGAGTAAGAACCTTGCCTTTGAGTTAGCAGCAGAACTCCTTAACCAGTTTGTTGTTGTTTGGTGCCATCAAGTCGAAAATTCTGGTGGACTACCTTAACCACTAGAATTCCATATTAAAAATTCTACTCTAATATCACATCACTACCGTTACTGAATATTTTAACCAAAGATTCCTTCTGAGGAGAGCTCCTCATCAAAAGGGGGAAAGTGCAGAGTAGAATTGGAAATTCTCATGGACCCCATTGCTCCTGGATTATGAAGTTCAGAGAAATTTACAATATGACTGCCCTGAGATTATTTTTAAATCTTAAACCAAAACTGTCTTCTTAAAATTAATTAGTAGCTTACTTTTGTTGTTGTTGTTTTTATGTGCTGTCGAGTCCCCTGCGACTCATAGCCCTATAGCTTGTGCGAATCTTATTTTCTCGGACACACATATCCTCATTATCCTAGTCACTGAATCAATCCACCTCATCAAGGTTCTTCCTCTCCTGCACTGTCCATCCACCCTCCCAAGCAGGATGTCCCTCTCCAAGGACTGATCCTACCTTGCAACATATCCAAAGTATGTCAGATGAAGCTTCAGGATCTTGCCTCCAAGGACCAGCCTGGCTTCACCCTCTCCAGGATGAACTTGTTTGTTCTCCTAGCAGTCCATGGTATATTCAATACTCTTCTCCAGCTCAAAGGCATCCACAGCTCAAAGGCATCAACTCTCTTTCTATCATCCCTAGTCATTGTCTAGCTCTCTGATACATAGCATGTAATTGCAAAGACCATGGCCTGTATCGGGCACACCTTAGTGTCCAACTGACATCGTTGCTCTTCAGTACTTTCGAGAGTTCTCTGACAGCTGACTTTCCAAAACAATTCATCTTTTAATTTCCTGGCTGCTGGTACCAAGAGTGTTGATTGTAGAGCCAAGCAAACTGAAGCTGTTTACAATCTCAATCTCTAAAGCGTATTGGTGAAATGAGATGGAATGACATGGGACATTTTGAGTCAGAGGATCATATGATCTACTATGCTGGAGATGAAAAGGTGAGGAAAAATGGGGTTGCTTTCATAGTTAAAAAAGTCATTTCTAGATCCATCTTAAAATACAATGTTGTGAGTGACAGGCTAATATCTACACGCATACAAGGAAGTCCAGTGAATACCACCATCATTCAAATGTATGCACAAACAGAGCCAAAGAGGAGGAAATAGATTTCTACCAAATTTTGCAGTCAGAGGTTGATCAAACATACAATGAAGATGCATTAATACTAATGAGTGACTGGAGAATAGAGAAGAAGGATCAGTAGTTGGAAAACATGGACTTGGTGACTGAATGAAATGAAACTGGAGATAGAATGATAGGATTTTGCACAACAACTTTACTCGTTCCAAATACATTTTACAAGAGCCATAAAGAGGCTATACACATGGATTTCACCTGATGGTATGCATAGGAATCAGATCGAATACATCTGTGGAAAGAATCACTGGAGAAGTTCAATATCAGCTGTGAAAACTAGGCCAGATGCCAATTGTAGAACAGATCACCAACGATTCATATGCAAGTTCAAGCTGAAGCTGAGGAAAATTAAATCAAGTCCACAGGAACCAAAATTTTATGTTGAGTCTATCCCTCCTAAGTTTCAAAATCATCTCAGGAACAGGTTTGAGGCCTCGAACACTAATGACAGAGGACTGGATGAACTGAGGGAGGATATCAAGAATATCATCCAGGAAGAATGCAAGATGTCATTACAAAGACAGGGAGGGAGGAAGGAAAGACCAAGATGGATGTCAGAAGAGATTCTGAATATTGTACTAGAGCACCGCGAAGCCAAAGCAGAAGGAAGAAATCAAGACATTAAGGAGTTGAACAGAAGATTCCAAAAGGGTAGCACGGGAAGACAAAGTAAAGTATTACGATGAAATGTGCAAAGAGCTGGATTCAGAAAATCGAAAGGGCTGAACTCGCTCAGCATTTCTTAAACTGAAGGAACTGAAGAACAAATTCAAACCTCCAGTTGCAATACTTAACATTTACTTTAGCAAGTGAAAAGTATTTCTTACTTGACCACTGTGCTTTTTAAAGGATTATCTATCTAGTTAAGGATTATTTTTACTTATCGGTCTTTTTAAAGAATTAGCTGAGGATTAAGGTGATAACAGCAATTGGAAAGATTAGATAGGAATCTTAAAGGGCAGTTGATTTATGCTAATGGAGAAAGAACAATTCAGAA